AGAAGAAAATAAAGCAGAATTTTCCAAGATTGATTTGGGCAATAATTTGGGGAGTTATGACCCCCAAAACACAGACAACAAAGCAAAACTAAGTAAATAGAATAGTATCAATCATAAAAGCTTCTGCACAGCAAAGAAAATGATCAACAAAATGAAGACACAACCCATGCAATAGGAGAAAATGTTTGTAAACCATACATCAGATGGGAATTAATACAGAAGGAACTCAAAATATAGAAGGAACTCAAGCAACTCAGTAGCAAGAAAATAAATAACCTGATTTATAAAATGAGCAAATAATCTGAATAGATATTTCTCAAAAGAAGACATAAAGATGGCCAGTAGGCATATAAAAATATGCTTAACATCACTAATCATCAGGGAAATGCAATTCAAATGAGATATCACCTCATCATACCTTTTAGAATATCTTTTATAAAACAGACAAAAGAATGACAAGAATGTGGAGAAAAGGAAACCCTTTTACACTGTTGTTGAAAATGTAGAAAGGTACAGCCATTATGGAAAAGAGTATGGAAGATCCTAGGAAAATTAAAAACAGAATTATCACATCATACAGCAATCACAGTTCTAGGTACATAGATCTTGAAAAGATAACTGCACTCCCACATGAACTGTGGTATTATTTTCTATAATCAAGGTATGCAACAAACCCAAGGGTCAATCCACAGATGAATAGATAAAAAAAACTGTGGTGTGTACACACACATTGTAATATGATTCAGTGTTCAAAAAAAAAAAAAAAGAAACACTTCCATTTGCCATGTGGATAAATTTGAGGACTTTATGCAAAGTAAACTAAGCCAGGCACAGAATGACCAATGATGCATGATTTCTATTCTATGTGAAACCCAAAAAAAGTCAAACCCAAAGAAACAGAATAGAACAGTGGTTGCCAGGGACTGGTGGACGGAAAAGAATGGGGTCAAAGGTATACAATTTCAATTAGATAGAATGAAGCAAAAATAAATAAATAGAATAAAAATAAGTTCTGAGATCTAAGGTATAGCAAGAGGTGCTGTAGTTAATACTACTATATTATATACTTGAAATGTACTAAGGGGGTAGGTTTTAAATGTCACCACAAAAAGGAAAATGATAGTTATGTGAGATAATGTATATGTTAATAATGTTGACCCTGGAATCATTCAGGATGTACACATACATCAAACTCAGGGGTCAGAATGCAGCTCAGTGGAAGAACCCTAGGTTTAATCCCCAAGTCCACAAACAAAAACAGAACAAAAGGACCAAAAACAAAAAAACTATCATATCATACACCATAAACATATAATTTTTATTTACCAATCATACCTTAATAAAGCTGTGGTTATATCTTTCTGTTAACATCAAAAGTAGGTAGAATCCATCAAAGCAAGCATTCCAAAGAAATAAATGCACCAAATAAAAAGAGGAAAATAAAAATGAACTACTAAACATCTTAGTTTCAAATAAAACAGAAAAAAAGGGGGGGAAGAAGGGAGAGAGAACATTCAATTATAAGCCAGATACCCTTCCAGGGCATAAAGGGGGAAACCAATGTCATTTCCTACTTTGCAGCATTTCTGATCCTAAAGAGAAATACCAATAGCCAAGAGAATGGCACAGCCATTCATCTCCTCCTGAAATCCAGATATCTAACCGTCCTCATTGTCACATTCATATTTCTCCAAATTTCTAGCATATAGCAAACCATCATTATTTCTAGAATAACAAGTATTTGAAGAAGAAAAAAAAAAAGAAAAGGAGAAAGGAAAGGAGGGAGGGAGGAAGAGAGGTGGTAAGCTTTTCATTTCTCTGACCAAAATACCAGACCAGAATAATTTAGAAGAGGTAAAGCTCACACTGTCAGGAGGTTCATTTCAGAGTTGGCCAACTCTATCACTCTGGGCTCAAGGTGATGCAGAAGGGCATGGTAGAGGAAAGCTGTTTAGCTCATGATAGCCAAGAAGCAGAGGGAGAGAGATCAAGTGCCAGGGACAAACATAAACCCCAAAGGAACCACCCTAGTGACCTACTTCCTGTAGCCACACCCAACCTGCCTATAATTACCACTCAGTTGGTCCATTCAACTCAGGATGGACTGATAGATAAGGTTATAGCTCTCATAATCTGATCCTTTCACCTGTGAACATCCCTAATTTAACCCAGGAGCCTTTGAGGGACCCCTCATACTCAAACCACAACAGAAAGATGGAGAAAAAGCAAGGAGATGAGGAGAAGAGAGGAGAAAAGAAAAGAAGGAAGTGAGAAAAAGTTATTTCTATTCACATGGATCATTCTAATTAGAGTGTAAAAGATAAAATTACGTTATTTTAAATTTCATATTGAATAATTCAATAATTTCATTTATATTCTTTAGAATTTTTGGCACTCCAAAGATGTGGTCACAATTATGGGTATTTATTAGAATATTCCTTGAATTATTATAGAAACTCAGCATATTATTGCTAAATTTGGCTTTCTCAGCATATTATTGCTAAATTTGGCTTTAACAATTTTCTAGTAGAATTTGCTAGTAAATGAGAAAGGGTTTTAAGGGATCTGCAAAAGGTCATCCAGTCAATTAATGACCAAGCAGGACACAAAGATCAGCCATTTTAGTTCCCAGTCCAATGTATTTTTCCCATAGCCATGCTGCAATTTCTAGGTCTTATGACTTCGTTTCATTTTAGAAACTTGTTAGACCCTGTAGTACCCATTAGAGAAATATCTCCAAATGGTTTTCCTATATCATTTAGATTTCTGCTTTAAACTATTAAAATAAGTAGCAGTGTTTTTAAAAGGTGAAAAAAAGCAATTTTGAAAATGATAAAGCACTTTCATACCTCATTTGCAATTTGCATTATATATTTTAAATAAAGGCAAAAAGTAGAGGGTGTATGTTGGCCTGATTTCTTCATATCTGAAGCAATGAAATTCTCCAGTTAAATCTGGTTGTCCACATTTCAGTTTATAAAGACCCAGAGGAGGTTCACTATTGAGGGATTTGTCAGGGGAGTGTTAAAGTAGATGGATCAACATTCTGGGTGCTCAGTCTACCCCACCTTGTTGTGCGACCTTGGATACTTAAGTCTCCTCTGTGACTTTCAGTACAATCATGGGATTGTGCTAAATCATGGCTTCTGTCAATGGATGTCTCCTTAGGCCCTCCTGTATCTACATGTGAGCATGCATTTTTCTGAGAAGAAGTTCTATAGCTTTTATTAGACTGTCAAAAGAAACTGGATCAACAAGCAAGTTAATTGCTTCTGTATTAGTATCTGAAGTCCCTTCTAACTTCTGAATGCAATAAAGCTATGAACATAATTTCAAATTGGAAATAGGAATCAGTATAACTATTAGCACGAATAAGATTATTGGAAAAGAACATTCTGTACACAGGTGCATGGCTATAGTGAAGCATACATTTAAATGTTAGCTGAAGGAATTCTATAGAAGCCCAGTCCAAATTTTCCATGATTACCATTAATTGGCCAGACAATGTAACTACATATGGAAAATGTAAATATATCACCAATTTCTAGTCCTTCCTCTTTATTATCAATATTTGAATGGGCCACCAAGGTAGTCCTGCTACTTAGGATTATAGGAGGATCAGTTATACCCATGCACACACACACAGACACACACACACACAAAAAAAAAGTCTATCCACACAAAGCTCCTTTCTCACAGTTATCAAAACATCCATCACCAAAACACTTTGATTATAACCTTTGAATGGATGGCTGAATAACTGATGTTCTTATAGAATGCACATGATTACAAAAGACACAGAAAGTCACTCTGCTTATTCACATATTTTCTTCCTTTCATCTATCCTTAATTTAATAAAATTCATTAATTATCTCACATGGCTGGAAATTCTCCTGGACCCCTGTCAAATATCAGTGAACAAAATAAACACATGCCACTCTCATAATCCTTACTTTGTGCAAGAGGAGAAATGAAATAAACAACATATGTAAAAATAAGTAAATTATTATTTTAAAAGACAATAAACACTTGGGCAAAAAAAAGGGGGGGGAAGGGTAATGAGACAGAGTAGAAAGATGGAGAATATCACAGGAGAGGTTTCCAATTTTAAATAGGTCAATGCAGGCTTTACCAAGAAGGTGTCATTTCAAAAAGTCCTGAGGAGATGAGGGAGTGAGCCAAGTATGCAATCTTGGGGAAGAGCTTTCTAGGCAGAGAAGGAAACAGAGCCAGAGTATGCTTGATTTGTTCAAGGAATAGCAAGGAAACCACTGTGCTAGGGGTAAAGCAAAAATCATCCTGACGTTGTGATCATGAAATACGTAAAATTTCATCTTTGGTTCACATTTCATACTCTATTATTTCTGTATTTAAGATGAAAGTCATAAGACCTATTATATAATCTTAGTAGAGTCCTGAATTTATCAAGATATGCAAAGTTAAAATTCTTCTGAAAATTTATGAATCACTCCAGAACCATGATCTGATTGGTATGCATTTTAACTTTCTCTGTTCCGACCAACATATATTTGTAAAAAGCTGTTATTTGATATGCAAATATGGCATTTAATAGGAGTTGATGTCATTGTACAGTAATCAACTAAAAGATCTTCATTTTAGAAATTGAGAGCACAGGCACAAAGAGATTCGTTATTCCAACAAAGAGAAATTCTAAGATTCATAGTTCACATGAAAGCACCCATTCTTTACGAAATGTCACTGATCCTTTTGGCATTTATTACATTGTTCGTTTCATTAACTTTCTTCCAGAAATTGAAACAATCATGATTATTGTACAGTTTATACGGCATTTCTCTAGGTTATTACTGCAAAGAACAAAATCCATATAAAGATAGTAATTTTTTTTTTTTTAAGAAGGGAGAGTCAGGCAGCCATCCCTCACAGGAAGCATTTTATTCCTGCCTCTTTCTTCCCTCAGGGGAAAATGAACCATGACTTCACGACCTTATAAATATAGCATAAAACGTAGGCAACCGTACCTTGCCCAGCTGGTCCTTTTTGACAAAGCCAGTGGCAGCTGCAATGTTCCCTGCGCCCTCCACCGTCTTCTGGGCTACTGCTGTCACGCCGGTCACCACTGCCCCTCCAACATTTGTCACTTGCTCTTTGGTCTTCTCAGCCACTTGAACAAATCAAAAGCAACAATAGATTAATGCATGGTGGGATGACAGTGACTTTAAATACTTTCTACTGTGAACTTCTATACATCTGTATTGACATAAGCCCTAGAAGATGTGATGAAGGAATCAGAAGAAACAAAATCTACCGAGATTCAATCTTTGAATCTTTGCTGAAGCATTTCATTGTAATTGTGCACAATGCTAAAAGGTGCTTCAAATTTAATTATCATGAACATATACTCATTAGCAGTTTGGGTTGGATTTATATTGAGGAAAGTGTTCTGAAAGCCATACTACAGCATTAGTTACAGTTGAATCAGTCTCAGCATGAAATGCATTTCTTTATTTCATTTTCAGTACCAATTCTTTGATCTCACTCAGCAAACTCATTTTCACCACACCTCCATGTAATATAACACTTACTGCTTACAGGTGAAGCATTACTAATCCAATGATCCAAAATTGGAAATGCTCCTAAAATTCAAAACTTTTGGGCACCAACATGGAACCACACAATATTATTTAAAATGTCATATAAAATTATTTCCAAGATTCATATAAAATGTATATGAAACAAAGAAATTCTGTTTACACTTGGGTCCCATCAGTCCCTTTCTTAAGATATCTCCTTATTTATATGTAAATATTCCAGAACCAAAAAAGGAAAAATTGAAATTTGAAACATTACTGGTCCTAAGCCTTTCAGGTAAGATAGTATACATGTTACCTACACATGCTAGAAATAAACAACAATAGAAGGCAACTTCTATCCTTTTAGAAAACAGAAGGGTTCTTAGTAATAAAATTGATTTCCATAAGTTCAATGGGAACTTAGGAGCCTGACTTTGAGTCTGATAATAGTTTCATTTGTCACTCAGTTTATCTTAGTAAAATAAAATAAAACTTAATAGAAGGCAGTGTTAATAGTACAGACTGGATTTGTAAGTAGAGATCTTAACTTCATATCAAAAATTCTCCAAGATATTCAAGAATTATATCTAAGTGCTGAATGATATTTCCATATTATTTCCATAAGATCGCATAAAGAAAGCTCCAATTTAAAAAAGGTTCTGTGTTTGTTTTTTTTTTTCAATCAACTAAAGGGTTCTTTGAAAAAAAACTAACCAAAGAAAGAGATTCTGTTCTTTTAATATTTCCAAGGTCAGTAGAGAAATGAAACAGCTCCTCTTCTTCCAAATCTCTGTCAAAGCCTTAGGTTTTGCATCTCATCTACATGTATGTCATGTTTGCCTTTCATTTTATCTCACAAACTTATCCTTTGTTTTCCCCTCCAAACTTAAGAAATCTTTGCTTTTGAGGGATGCTCTTCCTCAGGCACTCTCCTAAACAAATAAAAAGACCATTTTTTCATCATGTTTTATACTCTCCAGATAAGCCTCAGTATGGTGACCCCAAAGAGTTACACTATATCAGCTCTTAAGTGTTATTCACATGATTATTATACTATGCAGAGCTGTCATCATTAGCTGGAAAGGCCAATAGTTAAGCAGGATGGACTGAGGTCATAGAAGCAAAGGTGGTTTGTAAGGACTCTTTAGTCTAAGCAGTGTGGGGAAGCCTGACATGGATCACAAAGCTTAAAACCAAAAAGAGTCCACAGCTGATGTTGCTCTGTATCTTCTGCCTTTTAGGCTAGAACTTTGTCGATTACCTACTGTCTTCCCTTTTAGGTCATGGCTGATACCTCTTGAAGAATCATTGCTAACCACAATTCAAGTTCTATTCAAATGACAGTGAAAGACTGTCCTGGAAATTTTATGACTTTAACATTCCTGGAATGCCGATCCTTTAAAAATAGTGAATTGCATGGTTTAAATTGTCATTTCTTTTCTTTTCCAAGAACACGAATAGAAAGTTTTGCTCAAGACGAACATTTTCTTGTCATAAAATCTTAAAGCAAGACAAAAATAGGTTTTGATTTTTTTTTTTTAACAGACTCACGGTTTTTCTGCCAGCCATGAATTTTACAGTATGCAGCTAATCCTTTAAGTATGTATAAACTTTAATATATTGTTTTAACACATATAAAATTCACAGTAAAATGAACCTTGTATGTTACTATAATTTCACTAGGCTTATTTTAATAGCAAATAAATTAATTCCATTATATTTAAATGGCAGAATGTTCAGATAGCAATAACAGACACATCTGAAGAGATTTTTCTAGGACTGATTATTCCAAGAGGATCTCCCCTGACCTTGACCTTAGTATTTCCCATTTAAGGTCTTTTAGACTGTTCTTCTACTCACTGAGATGCCAGAACAAAAGGAACCCAGAGAAATGCAAATCAGTAGACTTGGATTTAATGAATGGTATTTAATTTTAAGAGAAAAGAAAAGAACTTACAATTGGGACCACAAAGGATTACTTTCCTCCCAACCAATAGATACTATAATATTTTGAATTCACTTATCTCCTTCCCAATGTGCCAGTCTTTCCCATTTTTGTCCACACAGCTCCATCTGGTTTAAAGCCTTTATCCCATTCCTGTTCACTAAGCAGACTCAATTGCTTTTGCTGAAACTCGGCTCAAATGTCATATTCCATTTAAAACAAAACAAAACAAAAAAAACCTTTTCCCAAAAGTACCTCTTTTCCTCACCACATGACTTTATAAAGTTTTAGACATACTCTACTATTGAACTTCCTTCTGCCTTGCACTATAATCATCCATTAACCACTAGTCAGCTCCTCTTCATCTGCCCTATTTTATTTCAAATAAAAGGATCCTGCTTTATTTTTCCTATGTTATCCCTCAATAGACAGTCAACACATAATTTGGAATGCTCTAAAAGGAATATAGTGTCTACCTTAAATGTTTACATTAATTTCAATCATTAAATTTACATTTTATTTAGCTAAGTTAAAATTCCAAAATGGAAATACAGAAACAAGTTTTAGAATAAGGTAAATCTAATCTTTGACATTAAACAAAACTATAAAATAAGAAGTTCTAGTTTGAATTGGTATACAAATTCTAGATTTGGGGAAAATAAATTTAAAACAATTTACTGAGGAATATGATTAAATCATGTTGAAAATGAGTTTTGGTATGTTTTATTGTGATGTAATAAATTTCTGTTGATAAGAATCAAAACTTTCAGAAAATATCCAGTATTCGACATTTCTTTATACCATACTTATATAAAAAAAATCTACATATATGTGAGGTGTGTGTGTTTCTGGTGTTTTGTTTTCTGTTTTTTATTTTTTGTGTGTGTGCTAGATATTGAACCTATGAATGTTTTACCATTGAGTTACATTCTAGCTCTTTATGTTTTTCATTATGAGACAGTCGCTTAGGGCCTCTCTAAATTGTTGAGACTGGCTGGACTCAAGCTTGCAATACTCCTGTCTCAGCCTCCCACGTCACTGGAATTACAGGCACTGCATCTGGCCTATCCTAATTTATGTTTAAAGCATCTCTCCAAACATGTGTTTCATGGCTGTGGCTGTGGCTCAGCAGTAGAGCGCTCGCCTAGCACATGTGAGGCCCTGGGTTCAATCCTCAGCACCACATATAAGTAAATAAAATAAAGGTATTATGTCCAACTACAACTATTAAAAAAAGTCATGTGTTTCAGTTAGTCCAATCTAAAACATTCTCATATATTCCTTTAACATTATGCTTTGGTTGACAACTTAAATATAATTTTCTGAGGCCCAACAAATGCCAGGATTTAAAGTGAAGCTTTCTTTTTCTTACCTTGAAATTATCTACTGAGAGAATTTACTTCTTTAGATTTTATTGATAGAAAATCCCTGGCATAAGTTGACTGAAATCTATATTTCTGCACAAGCAACTCACAAGCTGAATCTTGGGGAAAGTATTCTTCTAACAATATTGGATAATGTATGTACTATAAAATATTTTCTTGCTTTCCTCAATAAAGACAATAATGAACAACATTTATTTAACAGTTATGATATTCCTATATAAACATTTTAGACGAAGTATAATAAACAATCAGTTCTCTCTCTCCTTATACACTGAAGTGATTTTCACAAACTTACTTATCCTCATAACTGGAATTTGGGTTTGATAGTAAATACAACAAATTAATTAGTGTGTTTATCTGATGTGGAAGAGGAGTGGCACTTATTGCAGCTAGTTACTTGAAATGCCTTCTCAGAGTCAGAGTAATTATGACATCTTTTTGATATTCTGCTACTTCCAGGGTCATTAACTGGTATGGTGACTGTACTATTGACCAAGCCTAAACCACTATATCCTTGCAACCTAAGGGCCTTTTCCATAGTTTTCTGTGAAACACTAGTTTCTCTTGACCCTAACTATTGAAAGAAACTTTCAAGAGTCAAATAAGGTTGAAAAACCCTGGATTAAACTATGTTATGAAAATTTATTTTACCGAAGAACATTTCTTGTTCTTTAACATGGTAAAGGAAGGATTACACTATACAATTTACGACATTACCAAACCACAGAAACATAAGCTCATGGGCTATTTTACTTCAGAGAATATTTTGTAAAATGTTGAGCGCCTCTCTCCCTCTCTCTCCCTCTGTCTCTGTCTCTCCCTCTCTCTCTCTCTCTCTCTCTCTCTCTCTCTCTCTCTCTCTCTCTCTCTCTCACACACACACACACACACACACACACACACACACACTCATAATTACATTCTGGAAAAGACTGAAAATTTCCAAACTTGTCAACATTTAATCCTTGTAGCTCATCTTCATAGTTTCCTTTAGAAATCAGTAAGTATTAGTAAGCTTCTGTGATTTTCAGCAGATAGAAATATTGGGACTTGCTGTCTTCTTTCTAAACCACATGATTTACCCTCGACTGTCATAATGGAATACCATTAATCTGGGTTGGCTGCCTTCAGATAGTATAGCCTCCTCCTGTCTGCTATCCAGTTGTTACAAAAATCAAGGTTGATAATATTTACAGAAGGCCCCAGGAAGGTAATCAATGCAGTGCCTTTACTTGCCTAGTTCTCTGCATTATATATTGGATTACAACAGAGTAAAGGAAAGATGCATAATTAGCTTTTAATAGAATCAGTTGTCAAAGAGTTCTGTTTTATTTTGTAGTTTCAGTTTTATAAAAAATATAAATTCAAAAGGCATATGAGCTTTGGGGGGGGGTGGCCCATGCCTGTAATCCCAGTGGCTGGAGAGGCTAAACAGGAGGATCAAAATTTAGAGACCAACCTTAGCAACTTAGAAAAACCCTAAGCAACTTACTGAGATCCTGTCTCAAAATAAAAAATAAAAAGGGCTGGAGTTGTAGCTCAGTGGTAAAGTTCCTTTTGGTTCAATCCCCAGTAGCCCATCACCCCCCCAAAAAAAAAGACATATGAGATGCTTTTATTCATATGCTATAAAATTGTTGCTTAAGAAAGGTCTACTAGAAAGAAATGATACTTATATAGTGCATACTATTTGCTTTCAGTTTTCTAATGTTTTGTGTATATCGATTCACTTAATTCTTTTACGGCTGAGTAAATTAAATCACACAGAGGTTAAGAATCATGCAGAACATCACACAGCTGGTGTGTATAAGCAGAAATTTGAACCCGAGAGGACTGACTCTAGTGTTTGCAGTCGTAACCAAGAACTGATTTAAGATTCCTATTTCATTTTCCCCATCTCCATTTTATAATTTAGTGACACAAAACATGTTATTTTGGTGAGGCACTATTATATTTAAGGCTTTCTGGTGATATGATTCATGTTTCTGATGGTATCCCATCTCAGCACACCTGTCGGGAAAGGGAGTCATCACAACATGGAACAATGGCAGTGAGTCTATAGGATAATTTGTTAAATTTTTATTCTCCTTTGATTTTTCTCTTTCTATCATTATTATCCTCATCCTCCTGATGCTCATCATGACCATCATTTTCACTATTTTTTTAACTTTTTAATTATAAATCTTCTTATAGACTTATTCAAATTATTGACACAATTGGGCCAAGTAGAGATAAATATAATAAACAATTTATAATCACCTCAAGGACATTTTCTATAATGTATTCTGAATCATAAAAGAAATACTATAATCAGCATAATTTATGGCCAGAATATTTCATTGGACTTGAAATTTTATGTTAATATTTTGACAAATAATAACCTTCACATTTTGTTAATGCTAGCAGTTTGCCGATTTTGGGTTGGAATACCCGAATGCCCAATGACTATAGATTAAACAGAGCAGGTCAATGAAAGTCTTAGCAATTCTTGGCAATTAAAATATATGTCTTTCTTGTTTTTCATGAATATGTATAATTAAAACATTCATAAATAAGTAAGTTTAAATTAGGCTAATACTCCCTTAGAATGCTCCTCTATAGGCACAGTAGTTGTTTACAATTACATTCTAAATAATCAATGCTAATGCCCTATTGGTTACCCAATATTTTGAATGTTATCCCTGGATATAAGTCTCTGAGAGCTTACCTGTTGTCACACCATGAACCACTCCCTCCTTGGTTTTGGAACCTATAAAACAAAAAAATTCAAAACATAAGTCTCAAATCATCCTTAGATAATTAGTTAGCCAATTTTAAATAGAACCAAATTTAAAAATCTCAATCTTCAGAAGTCCATGTGTCAAGATATTCCTGAGGATACCAAAAATAAAAACAAAAGGAAACTGGAGGAAATTGAGTAATCAGTACCACAGATAGAAGAAATCAAAGCTAACAGGAGGGAGGTGAGGTAGGACCCTAAGTTGACCAGTGGACCCTAAGTTGCAGTTATACAGCAGTAGGAAGTTCTGGGGTGGTCCTGCACAATGATTACAGAGAGCAACTGTGCACTATATATCTCAAAAAGCTGGAGGAAGAGATTTTTGGACGTTCACCATAAAGAAATAATAAATGTTTGAGATGGATATGTTTAAGCTGATTACATAATGTATATATATATCAAAACATCACATGGTACTCTATTAATATAAACAATTTTGTGTTTTTCTATATCAGTTAATAAAATACACTTAATTTAAAAAATGAAAGAAAAGACTTGGGCATGAAATGACCTTTTATTCCCTTGCTTCCCACTTCACAGTTCCACATACAGAAAGACAAAAAGTGAGATAACACTGGAGTTAGTGAGAAAAAGATTTTAGATTCAGAGCTGTTGAAACCACAAAAGCACAGCCCAATAGATGAGATATCCCAGAAACACAGATGGAAGGCAAAAGAAGGCAGTAACATTTGTCAAGCAGCTATTATGTAAAAGGCTTATTAAATCTCATTTAATCTCTATGATATTCATGTAATAGAAGTGCATTTTGCCCAATTCATACCTGAGGAAATTAAAAACCACAGTGCTTTGCCAAGTGCTATATACTAATAGGCTACAAGCACATTCAACCTTGGTTTGTATGTAAGAAAAGAATTTCCTTCAAACCTTGACCATTACTAAATTTACAAACAAATAGTTACTACATGCATTATTCAAACTATGTTTCTTAATTATTTCATTCATAACCTCTGAGGTTAAATTTTCAGTATAGTTGACACCATTTTTTTGGATTAAAAGGATTTTTTTTTTGTTGTAAAAGAAAATAGCAAATAGATTTGAGATTCATTTAAAAGCTATTCTAAACCTCAAATAATGTCACTCTATCAAGACCTAGAATATAAGGAAATAAGGAAATAAATGTAAGATAAGAATTTCCTTCAAACCTTGCCCATTACTAAATTTACAAACAAATACTTATTACATGCATTAGTCAAACTATGTTTCTTAATTATTTCATTCATAACCTCTCTGAGGTTGAATTTTCAGTATAGTTGACACCTTTTTTTTTTTGGACTAAAAGATTTTTTTGGACTAAAATAAAATAGCAAATAGATTTGAGATTCCTTTGAAAGCTATTCTAAACCTCAAATAATGTTGCTCTATCAAGACCTAGAATATAAGGAAATGAGGACATAAAAGCGGAAAAGGATTTAAACTCATGTGAACATTAAGATAATTATTAAGCTTCATTTAAAAAAATGCACTAAATTTTGTAAAACCCTTCCTGAGCATACAAGAAATAACTAGCAATGTTTTTTTTAAAAAACAAACCAGAAAATTGTAAAGGAGCCTCAGTTTCCTTTTCAGCAAATTTAATAAATAAATTAATCAACTACTCTCAAAATAAAAAGGTTTTTAAAACCATGGGGACAGAATATGATTGATTACTTAGTGGTTGTGCTGGTTTTAAAATGCTGACCATCAAGTCAGAGTCCAAATGGTAAGAAAATCCATTGTACAGATATTTAAAATTTTAATAATCTTCATTATCTCTTGCTCGTAATTCATGAATCAAACTTTGAAAAATGTTTTATCTGAGTTTGTTTCTAGATCCAAATTTATTTAAAATTTAGAAGACTTTCATGATCTAATAATATGATTGATAAGATGATCTAAATAAATACATAAGATCATATTGAAAATATTTATTGAATATGTTTGAACATATAAAAATATGGCATTAAGATATGCATCATATCTGAACCTATTGAACCTTCGCTATTTTATAAGATATAAAAATAGACAATGGAACTTTCCACATTTAATAAAATAAGTATACTTAAGAATTTTCAATATCAATGTAAAGAGCCCCCCCCCTAACACAAATAAAACATAAACTAAAGCTTTATAGTTAAGCATGTAGTCTTTGGATTCAGAATGTCTGGGTTTGAATATTCATATCACCTCAAAATAAGCAAATACACATTACTGGTCTACATGATGATAAAAGGAAATAATTCATATGAAGTTCTTAAGGCATGTTTAGTACATAGCAAATACTTAGTAAGTGATAACTATTATTCTTCAAAAATAATGTTTGCAAAGGGATTTGCAGTTTAAAGCAGAGGACAAAGCACCAAATTGTAAATGTCATAAAAATGAAGATGTACGGTTGTTAAATATGTCAAAGTATATATTATAGCATTATATATAATACAACATTCCAGGCAAGGTTCATTTTTAAATGGTATTGTGACATTGTGAGATGCACTGAGCCAAAGCTGTGTAAGTTATCTTAATAATTAATGAGTGGAAAATTACAAGTAGTCAGTAGAAAAACCTGATTGTCTTATGACCTTTATTGTTGAAATAAGATAATTTAATCTTATTTATAAATACATAAAGAAATGAAAAATGCTAAAATTAATTTAACTTACTCTTAAAATGCTATTTATTTAGTATACTGTAATTCAAAATATTAACAATGAAAGTGTTTTATTGCTTCATAAAAATTTTATCAAAAGTAGTTTAAGTTGGACATGTTGGCACATTCCTATAATCCCAGAAACTACAGAGGCTGGGGCAGAAGGATCACAAGTTTGACACCAGCCTCAGCAATTTAGTGAGGCCTTAAATAACTTAGCAAGACCCTGTCTCATAAATAAAAAAACAAAAAAGGCCAGAGATGTAATTCAGTGATAAAATACCCCCAGGTTCAATCCCTAGTTTTAAAAAAAGAAAAACAGTGTTTGCTTTATCATTGCATAACTTTCTATTTGGGCACCTTTTTATGTTTTGGTTTTTTTTAAAGAGAGAGTAAGAGTGAGAATTGAACCTGGGCTGCACCTAGGCCACACCTGGGTCACACATGGGCCGCACCTGGGCCACACCTGGGCTGCACGCATGCCAGGTGAGTGCGGCGCCCCATCTTTTTATGTTTTAAAGAACCATCATAGTCTTTCTAAGTTTAGATCAATTTCCACAATGTTATCCTTTGCACTTTTAATATGATAATATGTCCCTGATAGTTTCTTAAAGTGTTTTGTGACATTACTTCCTCTGATAACACTCCAACCAATCCAGCCCCTCCTCCCTAATGTTGATATACTTTACTTTCACAGAGTCTTCTTGACAGCATACCTAGAGTCTCTGAACTATAGTAGTAACCATATTCCTGTGATCAGCTATTTCTTCAATAAATCAACATGTGTTTGATTCAAATTTTCTACTTCCAGCATTTTCTACTTCACTTATTTATTTCATCTTTGTGGGCCTCTTTGCTGTGCCTATTGTGCACTTCTGTGAAATATCACATGGATTGATCACTAGAAGACAAGGAGGCTATACAACTACAGGTGTTGCTTCTGCATGAACAGCATGACAAATGCAAAGTGACAAATCACTGACAAACTTTAAAGGTGATGTAGTTTAGTTGTTGAGTATAATGCAATTCTGTTATTTATGTAATGGTATGGGGGCTGAAGAGCTAGCAATAAAGTTTATGCCTTGTGCAGTTACTCTCAATTTATGCACTGTGATAACAGAAATTTAAATTGTGCTGTTAGGGGACAGGTGTGACTTTGTGTTAACTGTAATCTGTGTATACTGGGCAATGCACAATAAGAACACCTTGTATTTAAAAGAATGTCTCTCATCTCTATCCCTCACCCTCACACCCTGCACTCCACATTTTAAAAAGTAAATAAATACTTGTGGAAAAGTTTAATGGCTGATCTGGTTTTCCCTCTCTGCCTCAGCAGTACCTGAGAATTTGACCCTTGGTTAAATTGTGGAATGCCCTTAGAATCAAAGACAAGAGTCCCTATGAAGTTTATACACACACACACACACACACACACACACACACACACACACACACACATCAAGCCAATGACCTGTTCTTTGCTGTCATAATTGTTCATTGGTAATTTAATTTAATTGATTATTAACCCTTAACTCCTGAGCAATCTCTAACTGATAAAACATACTACAAAATAAGTACCAAGGGGCTATGTGATAGCAAGATATCAAAGCTGAAGGGCTAGCAGAGCTGATGACCTCTTTGAGCTAAGGAAGCCCACTCTTTCCCTATCTCACCTCTCTCACCACCTCACAAGGGTGCAGGGTAGACAAGATCACAAGTAACACCTGGGATTTTCAAGAGCTCCACTGTACAATTTTTGCACATGCTGTGTTGACTTTCTCAACCTGTGAGGTGAAAGCATACTGTGACTTGAGCATTTGAGATCAGTCACACCAGTGACCACATTGCTGGTTGAGCAGGATGCTAGAAGAATTGTGAAGATCATCATTTTCTTGCATTTGTTTTTCAATACTTTATACTATATAAAGATAATTAAAGTTTTCTGCTTTTGATTTTTGAATCCCAGTTTACAATTTGTGAGTCGTGTGATTGAATAGATTTGTATCTACTGAACTGAAGTAGGCTAATTGAAAATTTCTGTACACAGATTTTATCAAGGGAGGAAAAAAATACATAAAAATAACATTGATTGTTATGATACTTCTTCAATCATGTAAAAGGTAGTTTTCAAATATGTATTTTATATATGGAATGAGATTACTTTTGAGGCTTTTTCCAAACCTCTTCAGACAAAAGTGAAATTATACATTTTTCTTTGATCACTTCTAGTCTTTCAAACTTGTTATTAACAATGGTTTTTGTAACAAAGGATAAAAAGATAAGAATAAATCATATTGGCAAAGTAATTGCTCCCTTGGAGAATTGATCTGATTGTAATAACCATAGTTCTTATAACTGAGAGTATGCTCAATTACTCAGATGTCCTGTTTTAGTATGCCATTCTCACAAAGATTCCACAAGGTAGTTGTATTTTTCTAGATCATATTTTTACAAATGAAGGAAGCAATATTCAGAAAAATTATGTACCTTCACCAAGACACTAAAGGTAAGAAGTAATATAAAACTTAGATCTGTATAACATCAAGTCTGTGTTCTCTCCACTTTATGAGTCGTCCAACTATGGGCCTATGGTCAATTTCAGTCTACTATCCTCTTAGGTAAAGTTTTTTTTTGAAACACAAACATACTAATTATCATCTATGGTTGCTTTCACTTCAACAGCAAAGTTGAGTAGTTGAGACTGGGATCTTAAGGCCAAATAATTACTATATGATCTTTTACCAGAAACATTCACCAAAACCTGGACCATGTTCTCAGTGTTCAGTTGGTCATTTTTCATCCTAAGTCCTAAATACATGTTCAACTTTTAATTGGATTCCAGAACATAACCAATAAATAATTTGTAAGATATACTATGTGTTAGATACTACAATAGCATTGAACATTATTAGAATATTTGACACATTAACATATTACAATATTATACAATCACTTAACAGCAAATAAGAGAATTAATCTCTGAAAAATAAAAACGTTTTATTTCCCCAAACTCATAGTTAATAATGAAGACATATAAGTGCTCTAAATGACAAGATCTGTTCATTATCTGAAAAAGAGCAATACATTACATCAATATGCAATAGTTTATGTGTTTATTACAAACTAAGGGAGTAAGTCTTAGCATTCTAACATTAGAGAAAAAATAACATTAGAGAACAAAGTTACTGAGTAATTGATATCAAAGAATAGTTGCAAGCCTGAAATTGCAAAACATCTAAAAACTGAGGATAGAGAGAAAGACAGCAATTACCTGATGTCACTAATTCTGTACTTCAAATTTCATTTAAAATACATAATCACACTTCATAAAAAATAAGCTGAAATTAACTTATCAATCTTTTCCCTCTTGTTCACACTCATTTTAAGATTTTCTGAAAATATCTTAAAGTAAAGAAAGTATATTTTAAGAAAAAATTAGTGGAGAGATTCAGTCAATTTAAAAAAGAGTCTTTGAAGAATAAGTAAAAGTGATCTGCTATAAACTTTGATGAGAAGCATTCATAAAATGGTTTCAGGCTATAAATGTTTGCTTGCTTACCGTGGATTGACACCATGCTTTCTTTAATTCCATAAACCTAGAAGTAGCATCCATGCCTTCTATACCACCCCATATGCTCATCCTCTACCTTAATTGCTCACTTCATTTAGGAAGAAATAAAAATCCTAGTTTTCTAGCAAAATGATTCTGGAAATACAAAAGATTAGCCTTATCTTTTACTATTTGCTAAAACACACACATTTGCATTCACCTACCTATGGACAGCTATGACTCATACCATCCTCTTGAGAAGTGATCACGAGAAAATGAATCAAGCAAGAAGCTCCAGCATTTAGAGTATCAATCATTCTGAGCCTTCAGTCATGAATAGAGATGAAATGACATTTGGGGTTTACATACCTACATAGAGAACACCCTCTTTTGTCTTTCCTGCTGCTTCTGCCACACCCTGTTTGGTTTTTTCAGCAGCTGCCACAACTCCCTCCTTGGCCTTTGAAAGTCCTTTCATGAATACATCCATGGCTAAAGATTTTCTTGAGACTACCCTGGAGAACACAAAATACACTTCCAATGAGAACATCTGGACAAAAACAACCAAGATTAAAACATCCAAGATTTTAAAATAAACACTAAAGAACAACAGTAGAAATCCCCAAGACTGAGAGACTTTAAAGTACCCTCATTTCACCCATGGGACAGACCAGTGTTTTTAGCTTTTGTATTAAAAATTTAACATCTCCCATCCACATTGGCTAGTAAAAGTCTAGTCACCTAAACATAGATTAGGATGAATTATCTGAGTTGTTCTTCCTGCATTTCAGAAGTGGAGTTGCTTGAAAAGATGGACCCTCTCTTTCAACTTCCCAGGGTCCAAAAGGTAATAGTAAAGTTAGAAGCATGCTTAGAAGAAAGGCTGGAGGCTTGGGGTCAGGGGAATCCTTAAAATGAATCCAAGCCGAGGGCTTATAGGTTGATCCAGGAGAGGGGAGGGAAGAGAACTCACTACCCACTCCAGATGTGGCTGAACCTTATGTTAACAGCTAACCCAAAAGCGCTGGTTTTAATCCTGCAGACCATCCACCTCCGCCCTGGGCTATCTACTCAGAGCAGGTCCTCTCTATCCTAAGGGTAGACTCCAGTCTAGCGCCAGCCAACCCAGAGAGCATCTTCCTCAGCTAGAACGTGGTATCTGACCTTGAGCCTCGCACTTGTTAACCCCTCACCACCTGTTGACTTGTCTTCTCTGCACTTCCATTTAATTATTTACCAAACGCAGCTTCCTCACTTTCCAGAGAAAACTGAGTAAGCGGGCTGAGGGAGGGGGAGCGGGATGTGATAAGAGAAATAAAAGTTGAATGTTCACGCATCCATCCTCCTAGCGTTTCCGCAAGCAAAAGCATATTCCGGAGGAGCAACCTGCCCCCTCAACCTCTGGGAAGGAGAAGCTGGGAGTGTAGGAAGCAGGAGGAAACCTGGGTCAATTTACTTTCCTTAAGCTCACTAACCCACAAGTACCCAAAGACCCGACGCAGGTGGTCGCCAACGCTGCACCAAACCACCTCCCAGGAGTCCACGGTGACTCCCCTACTACCAGTCCCCC